GATCACAATGTTGACTCTTACCGATGGCTCAACAATCATTCGCATCAATATTTTTGCTCCTGCGTCAATGTGTCCAATAAATAATGGTAGTGTAATCGATGCATGCCTACTTATAAACTATTATGCTTACTCGGTTGTCAATAATAATCAAATCGCATTACCCATTTTAATTGAAGCCAATGCGGCCTGCGGTGATGCTTGTTCCTCAATATCAACTTCGTGTTCGCCATCGTGTACAACGTGTAACGGACAACAAGTAGCGGGTGCCGATACGCCCGTTTCTCGTCGATATGACATGGGTGCAAGTTCTGGTACTTTCAAGTTTGACTACAACACCTTTACTATTAAAGACCGAATCATGGTTGGAATGATGCAAATCTACTTTTTGATACTGGCTGTGTCGGTGCAAGTGGTACAGTCAATATTAGCTACTCGAGCACTTCATCGAGCATACGCGTTGATGTTGAACCAGACTGTGACTGCACCAACAGCCACGGGTGTACTGGAACCTCTTGGTGGTTCACCGTTAACTGTTTAGCTACCAAGTAGTATAGAGAGATTATTTGCTAGAAGAATCTTTTAACCCTGTCACGGCGATTCGATTTTTCAAGGAAAATAGCTTCAACATATGGATTTTCATGTTTATTCACGCTTGATAAATGCGCTCATGGATCATTTCAGTATGTACAGCCATTTGCTTTTCTTTCTGTTGATTGTGTCATCGCATGTAGGGGTTTTTAATCACAGAAAACCGAATAGCTACTCAAGATGGGATTTTTCCAATTTTCCCACACATATATACTGTGCATCATCCTAGTCGGGATAATACGAACAAGACACTAAACTCATTTTTATCAAAATTTACAATTTACATGCTCTTTGAAGACACGGATACGGAGGAAAGTGGCGACTCACAAAGTGATGTGAGCAGTTTGGAAAATGGTATGTCCAAAATACAATTTGACTCTTCAAGCTCCGAGGAACAGAAGTCTGGAGCGAAATAGAATCAGAATCAGATGCTGAA